ATGGAAGGATTTGCACCATTTAAAATGAGGGGGGGAGCTCTGGCATTTAATTATCAGGGGATATGAAATTACATAGGGTTTTTTTTTTGGGAAAAATCTTGCTGAAGCTGATCATACACAGACCAAATTCAGCCGCTTTGGCGGGACAGGTTGAATTTTGATACATGCATGGCCACTGTGGTTGAACAGAAGTCAACCTACCAATCAGCACTGCAAGCTATAGAGTGCGTCCACTCAGCTCCTACCCACTTTTTTCATTAACCAAAGTGCCTTTCCAAAAAGTCTACCCTTAGAGCCCAATTCACAGCCTACTGTATATGCATAACTCCTAGGCTCTTATTCCTGTGTACATATATGAGCACCCCTCAGAGCCCAGTCATCAGCATTATCTCCTCAACCCTCAATCCTCAAAACACATTTTTTAACCCGTTACCTACTTTAGTTTTGATTGACCTGTGTTAGTTTTGGTTTGATTGCAAAATGAGCAAACAGTGTGCTCATGTAGTGCAAAAAGCAGATCGAATTCTAGGATGCATTACTAGAGGAGTCTCCATCCTGAGGAAGGAGGTCCTAAATCCCCAATATAGATCTTTAGTTATAACTAGAGGCATCAATGACAGGAGGATGGAGGTCCACCAATATACAGCCCCCGGCAGAGGCGTTCCTACGGTAGGTGTCACCCGGTGCGGTAACACTTGGTGACACCCCTTCCGATGATCCCCGCAGAATGGATCGGATCTGCGGATTGAGCATAATGAATCGGACTCCGATCCATTATGCTCAATCCGCAGATCCGATGCATCCTGCGGGGATCGTCGGCTTTCTTTACAACTTGCCTTTTCTTGGAGCAGATCCGATGTCACCCCGTATAGGTTACATGCCGATGAGGATTTATTTTTCTGTGCTTTTTGCTAAATTGTTGCCTTTTTGTACATAAGTTGTCCTCCAAAGTCGTTTCAGTTCCATTGGGCATCATATATACCCCTAGACCAGGGGTGGGCAAACTTTTTGACTTGAGGGCCGCAATGGGTTCATATATTGGACCCGGGGGCCGGACCAAGAGTAGATGAATGATGTGTATGTGTCATCCATAGTAAGTATAGTAATATTCCCCCATAGTAAGAATAGTAATTCATCCCCCATATAGTATTTCATCCCCCATAGTAATTCATCCCCCATATAGTAATTCATCCCCATATAGTAATTCATCCCCCATATAGTAAATCATCCCCCATAGTAATTCATCCCCCATATAGTAATTCATCCCCCATAGAGTAATTCATCCCCCATAGTAATTCATCCCCCATATAGTAATTCATCCCCCATAGTAATTCATCCCCCATAGTAATTCATCCCCCATATAGTAATTCATCCCCCCTATAGTAATTCATTCCCCATAGTAATTCATCCCCCCTATAGTAATTCATTCCCCATATTAATTCATCCCCCTATATTAATTCATCCCCCATATTAATTCATCCCCCATATTAAGTCCCCAAGTCCCCCCTGTGTCAATTCACTTACCTTTGCTCCGCGCGTACCTCTCGCCGTGTTCCCGTGCCGTTCTGGTGTAGCATGAAAATCTGTCTCCTATGAGGATCTGTCCCCCTCGACGTATCTGCGCATGTGCCAGTTTCAGGCATTAGCAGCCGATCGGCGATCTCCGGCACATGCGCAGATACGTCGAGGGGGACAGATCCTCATAGGAGACAGATTTTCATGCTACACCGGTCATCAGGGCGGACTGTGAGAGGAGCCTAGCGGGAGCCTAGCTCCGCGGGCCGGATTAAAAGGTCCGCCGGGCCGTATACGGCCCGCGGGCCGTAGTTTGCCCATTGCTGCTCTAGACCCTATCCAAGTTATTAACCCCAAATAAAACAACAAAAACCAAACTCATGGACTGTTTACTGACTGTGGATGCAAGAGTGGAAAATGCATGTTGCCTGTCTGTGCAGAGCTCACAGGGACCCAAAAAGCTCCTAAGAGGGTAGCGCTACATATGCATAGAGCACTTTGGCTCCATTCCTGGGAAGCTGTAGGTACCCTTAAGGAGTATTAAATTTACTCTCCCTTCAAGGGTAGGTGCCGTTTGGGCTCTGCTATTAACCATGTTATTCCTGGTCTGTCTGGTGCTTGGAATGTAAACCTGCCCCACCAAAGAACATCTGTTGATGAGGTGGATCAACCCCATACTTTCTCTACTTTTACAGCAGTTCCTTGTAGACATACATGGTCTTTTTTTATTCCGATCTAGATGCCATAAATACTCAACCTCTTCTGTTCAGCCCTACATAAAAACTCACCCCCATCTATGGGAGGCCGCCTGTTATTTTTTCTTACAGGCTCATTTGTTAGTTGTATCCTGACTAGGGTTGCCACCTCATCCCTTTAAAACCGAACACATACTAATGACACAGGTTAGGTGGCTGATTAAGGTGGTAATTAAATTCACTTAGTACCTCATCTGCATTATATTAGCCTCAAAACCTGTGTAATTAATATGTGTTCAGTTTTAAAGGAATGAGGTGGCAAACCTAATCCTGACAGATGATCAGGTCTTACTTTGCCATCTGAGACTCCGAATAAATATCTTTAATGACGTAAGTTAGATGTCTTCTCTAGATTTGGGTAATGATTTCTACTCTTTTTTTTTACTTTTATGGACATATTGTATGTCCTGGTTCCCTTTCCCTGAAGTCAAGCCTTCCTTTGGTTGATCAACGTAACAGCTGGTCAAAGTTGTCCTCTTTGGGTAGTGTAGCTCCACCCATACTTCCCTCACAGTTGATGACACTTGTCCTCCACTTTACTGGTCAAGGTCATTTGTTTGTTAGAATTTCTGATCTGGAACACCAGGTTGATCATAGTTGTCTTCACTTGACATCATCTTTCCCCACCTTAATAAACTGTTATTCATTAGGTGCTGATGCTAGTTAACCACTTGACCTTTATCCCCTTCATGACCAGGGCATTTTTGCATTTCAGCACTGCACTACTTTAACTGTCATGCAAAACTGTACCCAAATTAAATTTATATCATTTTTTTTACACCAATAGAGCTTTCTTTTGGTGGTATTTGATCACCACTTGATTTTTTTATATTTTTATTATATAAAGGAGAAAAGACCAAACTTTTTGGGGAAAAACAAACAAACAATATTTTCTACTTTCGGTTATAAAACATATTCAATAAAAAAAAATTATAATTTCTTCATAAATTTAGGCCAAAATGTATTCTGCTACATGTCTTTGGTAAAACAAAATCCCAATAAGTGTATATTAATTGGTTTGTGTAAACGTTACACAGTCTACAAACTATGGTACATATACATGAAATTACACTGCTATGACGCAATACTGGTAATGGTGGTAATCAGTGACTTATAGTGGGACTGTGAAAGTGTGACGGGCAATCTGGCACTAACAGACCCTCGCTGGGAGGTATACTAATTGACACTAACATCAATAGTGATACTAATATAGTGATCAGATATAATACTGTACATTGTCACTGTACTAATGACACTGGCTGGGAAGAGGTTAACATTAAGGGGCAATCAAGGGGTTAACTGTGTGCATACCAAGTGTAATGTGTGTAATATGTGCTGCTTTTATTAAGAGATATGACTGATTTTTTTTATCAAGGGGTTAGCTGTGTACCTAATTATGTGAAATATGTGCTGCTTTTACTTTCTGATCTGGCTGTTTTTATTCTCCCTGCTTTGCAGTATATTTACAGCGAGCTGTTAACATCAAGGGGTTAATTGTGTGCCTACCAAGTGTAATGTGTGTAATATGTGCTGCTTTTACTAAGAGATATGCAGTTTTTTTTTTCTCCCTGCTTTGCAGCATATTTACAGCGAGCTGTTAACATCAAGGGGTTAACTGTGTGCCTACCAAGTGTAATGTGTGTAATATGTGCTGCTTTTACTAAGAGATATGGCAGTTTTTTTTTTTTTCTCCCTGCTTTGCAGCATATTTACAGCGAGCTGTTAACATCAAGGGGTTAACTGTGTGCCTACCAAGTGTAATGTGTGTAATATGTGCTGCTTTTACTAAGAGATATGGCAGTTTTTTTCTCCCTGCTTTGCAGCATATTTACAGCGAGCTGTTAACATCAAGAGGTTAACTGTGTGCCTACCAAGTGTAATGTGTGTAATATGTGCTGCTTTTATTAAGAGATATGGCTGCTTTTTTTATCCCTGCTTTGCAGGGAGAAGAAACAGTCAGATGAATGCTCTGTGTATAGAGACCTGTGTGTTTTTAAACACAGGACTCTGTGCCGTGATTGGACACAACTGATGAGCAGGTCTCAGCCAAAATCATTGACACCTGCTGAGAAAATAACACTGTGTCCAACCATGTGTACACCCCAAGCCCGGAAGCAAGCTTGCAATGTTTATTTATGTTGCTGAGCCTGTAGTTGCTGCCCGGTCACAGTAAATTTACTATGACTGGGTGGCAAGTGGGTAAATTCCACTTCTGCTGGTTTCCCTAGTGGTTTTGTCCACCCCTCAGTTGGATTGCTTTTGGATGTTGTAGCCTAATTTAGTGTCCTTCAATGGACGATAAATAAAAAAAAAATTTGTTTTACTTACTGTAAAATCTTTTTTGGGAGTCCACACACAGGCACAGGCCCCACCCCTCTATGTTATTGTCCGTAAGTACTACTTGTTCACAAAGCCAAGGCATGACCATGGGAACCAGCAATATGCAGGGGCTGGCTTCATTTTTATGTTTTTATTGTACCAGTATCCAAACCTCCTGAAGGCAGAAGCACAACTACTAATCAACTATTTTACAGTCCTTTGTGATTGGACTTCAAGTAATAGGTTTTTACGGTAAATACAAAATTCTGATTTTGTTTTCATGTTCACAAAAGAGCCTCTTTCAACACATTTTCTCTTATTTCTTATAGAATGGCCTTTCGGATGACACTCCTTCGACTCATGATTGGCTCTGTTCTTTTGTTCACCTCGCTTTTATACATGAAAGCAAACATGGAGAAAAGACACGAGAAACAAATCCACATCCTCATCCTATCATCCTGGCGCTCTGGCTCTTCTTTCCTTGGCCAGATATTAAATCATCACCCCAGTGTTTTCTATGTCTATGAGCCAGCAAGGATGGTTTGGGTTAAATTTCCCCGCGAAAAAGCAAGTCTTCTCCACTACCCTGTACGAGATCTCCTACACTCTCTGTTTAACTGTGATATGTCTCCTCTGCATGACTACCTTCCCCGAAATGGGCGTTACATAACCGATCTTCACTTTTGGTCAGAAAGTCGGGCTTTATGTTCACCACCAGCCTGTGAATCCTTTGCCATGGATACAGAGTATGACCGGCCTTCGTGCTTCCAACGGTGTGGTCATGCCCCCTTGGAAAAGATGACCCAAGCCTGTAAAGTCCACAAACACGTTGTACTAAAAACAGTTCGAGTATTTGACCTTGGTGTTCTTCTTCCACTCCTCCAGGATACCAAGCTAGACCTTAGGATTGTCCACCTCGTAAGAGACCCTCGAGCTGTGGCTTTTTCACGGCTGAGCTTTCCTCTCAAGGATGAAGATCTCATAGTGGTCAGAGACACAGAAAACTGGGAAAACAAACAGGGTGCTCCCAACGTCACCAATGTTATGGCCAATATCTGTAGGGCTCAAGTTGCAATTAACGAGTTCAGCAAAAAAGTGGACATATCTTTGCCAGGATTTTATATGTTGGTACGGCATGAAGATCTGGCAAGAAAACCCTTGTCAACGGTTGAGAAGATTTACAACTTTGCGGGTCTCAGCCTCACTGAAAATCTTAAGGATTGGTTATACAATGTCACTCACCAACGCCGACCAACACAAACTAGATTCATGAGCTTTGCTGAGAACTCCAAACAGGTCATTCAAAAATGGAGAGATGGTCTCGACCACAGACTAGTGCAGGAAATTCAAGAACAATGTGAGAAGGCCATGGAAGTTTTTGGATACATACCAGTCAGGACTATGAAAGAGCAGCGTGATCTAAAATTCAATGTAATGACAGATGTAAAAGACAATCAATAGCACTTGTGTGTACCTAATGGATGGAACCCTTTTTTGTGGGCTGGAACAATATTACACAGAATACAACAAAGAAGTAATCCAAATGCTCTGCCCAGCTATGTTCCGATTAATGCTTGAGTCCAATGGTACCAAAAGACTTGAGTGATGACAATCCAGTTGGCTCTGGGGCCTTAAATTAGACACAACCCAATCACTAAAATATTGCAGACATTTTAACATGTTAGTATCATTCTGAAAGTTGTTTTACATGTTTTTTTAAATCTACAGCTTAACCTGTGGAAATTTTTAAATTTTTCGCACACATGTTAAAATCTGTTACTTAGCACCCCAAACATTATATTTTCTGAAAGCAGAAATCCCCGGAGAAGAAAATGGTGGCTGCTGTTTTAACAATATATTTGTACAGCCACTTATCAAACACAAATTTTCAGGAAAAAACACACTATAATTAATTTTAGTACAAAAACACAATATAATACCCATTTTTTGTAAAAATATAACATTTTATATTACATCAAGTAAATAGATACCAAATATGCCAAGACTCAAAACTGTGAAATGGCAACAAACTAGGTTCCTAGGTTTATAGGTGACTCTTTAGAAGATTTTATCATGTAGATGTTAATCTTGAATTATGGCTCTAGAATTATTATTCTCACTCTATCGTTCGTGGTGATACCTCATTTGGGGGTATACATGGGGAGACAGGGTGATTTCAATTTTTTTAAATTATTTTTAATTTATTAAAATGTATTTATTTTTTTACTTAATTTTTTTTTCATTCAACTTTATTGCAATCTCCAGGGGGCTAACAAGCCCCCTATGTGATAGCTTTGGGCAGGTGACAAGTCCTTCTTATGGGGACATGAGGTTTCTATTAGACCCCCAATGTCTACCTTGGCGTCTGAAGCAGCTAATCAAGATTAATTAGCTTCTTTCCTGATTATAACAGCCACCATACAGCTCAAAAAACCAAAAGTGACAAAATAATCATTGCTTCTGGCTTCATTAGTCATGAAAGAGATTGAGGAACTGATGTTTACCCATCTCCTCTGTGTGAAGTTGTTCCAGCCATTTACCATGGTCCTGGGCACCCTGGAGGAACAGGAGAACCCTGAAATCACCTGTGGTGGCTGCAGGAAGGGAAGGGGGGGTGTCCCTTCTTGGTTCAGTACAAGTGATTGGGCGGCTATTGAGCTGTCCTGATCACTTTTACTAAAGAGCCAATAACCAGCTGTAAAGAATGGACACCAAGCCCATGGCTGCAGATACATATAACCACATACAGTGCTGTGGAAAACTATTTGCCCCCTTCCTGATTTTTTCTTTATACTCACTGTGAAACCAAAAGGATTAATCTTCTGCATTGTGTAAAAAAGGACGTTTGAGCCTGTCTTCTCTGATCCTCCCCTACTTCTACTGTACCCAATCCAACTGCTGATAGAATAGTGCCTTGGAGGCAAGCTGCACATGCTCAGTTTGGTGTCTATTGCTAAAGAGTTCTTTTTTTCTTGGGAGAGTGCATGTGATCAGCACAGGACCAATCAGCACTGTCCAGACAGAGGGTCAGGGGTCCTGCAGCCTCATAGGACAAGCAGGGGATAATGAAAACTCCTACAAACTTTAACCAGTGCTCTATTGGACACTGATAGAAGTCACAAGACTGCTATATACTGCTGATGAGAAAAGGTATTCAGCCATTTATATTTATTAAAATAATTGCATTTCCATGTTCTGAGTACTGTGGGAGACCAGATGTAGTGAATGCAGGGTCCGGGGAGACCGGATATAGTGAATGCAGGGTCCGGGGAGACCATATGTAGTGAACGCAGGGTCTGGGGAGACCAGATATAGTGAACGCGGGGTCCTGGGAGACCAGATATAGTGAATGCAGGGTCCGGGGAGAGCGGATATAGTGAATGCAGGGTCCGGGGAGAGCGGATATAGTGAATGCAGGGTCCGGGGAGACCGGATATAGTGAATGCAGGGTCCGAGGAGAGCGGCTATAGTGAATGCAGGGTCCGGGGAGAGCGGCTATAGTGAATGCAGGGACCGGGGAGAGTGGCTATAGTGAATGCAGGGTCCGGGGGGATATAGTGAGAGGGTCCGGGGAGACCAGATATAGTGAATGCAGGGTCCGGGGAGATCGGATATAGTGAATGCAGGGCCCGGGGAGAGCGCTATAATGAATGCAGGGTCCGGGGGGATGTACCGGATATAGTGAATGCAGGGTTCAGGGAGACTGGATATAGTGCATGCAGGGTCCAGGGAGATCGGATATAGTGAATGCAGGGTCCCGGGGAGACCGGATATAGTGAATGCAGGGTCCGGGAAGACCAGATGTAGTGAATGCAGGGTCCTGGGAGACCGGATATAGTGAATGCAGGGTCCTGGGAGACCGGATATACTGAATGCAGGGTCCGGAGGAGACTGGGAGACCAGATATAGTGAATGCAGGGTCCTGGGAGACGGGATATAGCAAATGCAGGGTCCGGGAGACCAGATACAGTGAATGCAGGGTCCGGGGAGACCGGATATAGTGAATGCAGGGTCCAGGGACACCGGATATAGTGAATGCAGGGTCCGGGGAGAGCGGATATAGTGAATGCAGGGTCTGGGGAGACCAGATATAGTGAATGCAGGGTCCGGGGAGAGCGGATATAGTGAATGCAGGGTCCGGGGAGAGAGGATATAGTGAATGCAGGGTCTGGGACACCGGATATAGTGGATGCAGGGTCTGGGGAGACCAGATATAGTGAATTCAGGGTCTGGGGGGATATAGTGAACTGATATAGTGAATGCGGGGTCCGGGGAGACCAGATATAGTGAAATGCGGGAGGGATATAGTGAATGCGGGGAGACCAGATATAGTGAATGCAGGGTCCGGGGAGACCAGATATAGTGAATGCAGGGTCCGGGGAGAGCGGATATAGTGAATGCAGGGTCCAGGGGAGACCAGATATAGTGAATGCAGGGTCCGAGGAGAGTGGATATAGTGAATGCAGGGTCCGGGGAGACTGGATATAGTGAATGCAGGGTCCTTTAAATGATTCAATTATCAGGCAGGTTTGGCCAGCTCTTTTCCCTTAATAAATGAAATCACCATTTAAAAACTGCATTTGGTATTTACTCGGGTTATCTTTGTGCAATATTAAAATTTGTTTGATGATCTAAATCATTTAAAGTGTAGAAAAATATGCAAAAAAAAAAAAATCAGGAAAGGGGAAAATACTTTTTTCACAGCACTGTATATACTGTAGGTACAGCGTTCAGCAAGTGGTTTCTCTTTTGAGTTACAATCTTCAAATCTTTAAAAGCGCAAAAATAAAGAAAAAATTTATTTGGTCAAAAAAGTTTAATAATTTAACACCAGAGAAAAACAACCCAGTAACGTTGCATGAAAATATATTCTTTTTGGAGTGTCAGCCATTTGGAACGCCATAAATACGACAATCCAGGAGCGTTCTAAAAGTGGATTTCACATTGAGCCCGGGTTCACACTTCTGTGGTACGACATATCGCATGTGATTCGCACAGGAACCGCACCGCATTCCTGTGCAAATCACATGCGAATTCTGTGCGGTGCGATTTGCACCATACATTTTTGTGGCTCAGATTGCACCACATTGGCACCAAAAAGGTGCAGGACCCTTTTGTTCGTCCGCATTAGAATCGGATGGCATGAGTATCCACACCTATGCGATCCGATTCTGCACATCACACTGAGTTTTATGAACTGATTTTGGGGTGTTGTTAACTTAACATACACACCCGCAGTGGTTCGCATGAACGGGGTGTGATTCTGATGGGGTGTGGAATTTGCACAGAAAATGCTACGAATTCCGCACCTCATCAGTGTGAACCTGGGCTGAGGTGTAACTGGGATCAGTTCAGACAAAAAAGAAAATGTAGAAGAATCACTATTGTACAAATGTGACCTCACCTTGTGTAGAGCGGAGCTGAGTTTATGACCCATCAATGATGTCATTTTATTACATTATACTCCTACAATAGTATTTGCTGCATTAGTAAAGGTATTGAATGACGGAATTATCTGCTCACATTGCTTCACGCAGTTATTTTTAGAGGGAGCACTCAGAATCCGGTGCAACTGTGTATGGTAGCCAATCAGCTTCTAACTACAACTTATTCAATTAACCCCTCACCCTCCAGAGGATTTACCGCCCTTCCTAACCAGGCCATTTTTTTGCGTTACGGCCAGGGGCGGACTGACCATTTGGAAACTCGAGGGCCCGGGGTCAGTAGGGGGCCCCATGAGATACCCCTGGTACCATTTTCATAGACTTTTTTGAGTTTGGGCAAGGACACAGGGGCCCCATGATCCCCTATTGCCCGGGGGCCCCATGAATTGTCAGTCCGCCCCTGGTTACGGCGCTGCGTTACAATTGCGTGGTCATGCAACGCTGCACCCAAATGAAATTTATATCCTTTTTTTTTTGCGCTTAAGAAAAAAAAACAATTTGGAGAAAAAAAAACAATATTCTGGACTTTTTCTATTAAACATGTTCAGTAAAAAAAAATGTAAAAAATCAAATTTTATCAAAAATTGAGGTCAAAATGTCTTTGATAGAAAAAAAAAAAATCCAATACATGTAAATTAATTGGTTTACATGAACGTTATAGTGTCTACAAATGGCGGTATATATACTGGGATTTTTTAAAATATTTTTACTAGTAATAGCGGCGACCAGGGACTTATAGCGGGACTGTGGCAGGCATTCTGACACTGGGGGGGAACTAACTTGGTGTCACTGACATCCCAAGTGACACCAATACAGCGATCAGTGCTAATAAAAGCACTGCCAAGGTACTAATTGCACTGGGCAGGAAGCGGTTAACATGATGGGCAATCAAAGGGTTAATTGTGTGTTAGGGGAGTGTTTTATTGTGTGCTGTTTTACTAAGGAGACCTGCTGCTTTCTCTCTCTCATCTGTGCTCAATTGCAGGTGGGATGTGGACTGTAAAACACCATAAACAG